TCTAATGGATATCCAGAATCACCTTGAAAATAGAAGATAATGCATGCAAATTTGTAAAAACCGGTACGTTTTGGAATATAAAACAGATTATATAAGAGTTTGTTACAGAGTACTGTGCTACTAACACCATATGCATTTACATATGTAAATGCTACTTTTTTGTATGTACTCGTGTATACCATATATTACATTGTATCACAAAAGTAGCATTTACATATGGAAATATATATCGTGTAAGATTGCTTTAAGTGATACAAGTACATATGGATAAAGTCACCTACCAATTATCCAAGATGATTTGTCTCCATTTTGGTATTGGGCTTTCATATATTTTCGTTCGTTTGACAAGCTCCATACATGAGAATTATGAGCCGCTCCACCACAGACTCCATTCACAGCTCTTATGTACATCTTGTGATCACAAATCTAATAAAAAAATGTTATGAAATGGTATGAACAAAAACTTGTAAGTATTAAAAACTTACCACCATTGCATTGATGCTATGCTTTAGCTTCCGGTTAAAGAACAGATGTTCATCCTTTACCGGCCTAACCATCTGGATATGGGTTCCATCAACAGCACCTTCCTGGTAATCCAAATTTTGAGTAGAAATGGTTTTTGGATTCACGCTTTTCTTGCACGGTCATTTCAAATTTTATGTGCCTCGGACATAAAGTTTTTTCAACCGTGATACATTTAGAAGTCGTGGATTGCGCTAATCATGCAAAACGGTCTTGCCCTATTTGGTGCTGATAGCCCCCTTGTCCTAGAAATTTTAGAGGAGCAGCAAGTTTTACTGTCGGAGTTACTGCCGTAGATCTTATAGGTGCATGTAATTCGTGTTCTATGCTTCTCAACACATAATTGAAGGCATCCTTGGAAAGCCGAAAATTTTTTATGAAGCTATATTTTCAAATATATAATCATTAATAAGTTAAATTTATAGCCGGTTACATTACATATGTATGCATTTACCTTCTTTCCGATAATTCATCAATATTAAAATGATCCCTTATAGCCCTTCTTGCATTTCTCTCTTCATTAATTTCTCCGTCCAGACACAATGCAACAGAATCCATTTTTTGTTTGTTGATAAAATGAATAACAATTGTTTAATTTAAATTATGTAGTTGTTTACTTGTTTTCCTTCTACGTATTTTGACGTTTGACATTCGAAAATTCTGGCACAGGTTGGCACAACTTTCGCAAAACTAGAAACTCGATCCGAAACTTTTACAGAATGCTAAACCAAATTCGAATCGAATAACAAATTCGAATAGAATCAACTTTCGATTCGAGTTACAGAATAGGGCCCCAGTACTAATTTGTACTGGAACCTGCAAATTTTTACTGGAAAAGTGTATGATAACCCAAAAAATTTGCAAGAGCACTGAATCGAGAGCGTAATAACACGGGAGAGCTGCAAATTCGTGCTAGTGAAATTTTTACTAGCAGAAATTAGCTAGCAGAAGAAGAAAAAGAATATATGTCAAAAGCCGCCATTTGTTGAATTGGTTTAGCGCAAACAAAAGTAAAATGAGTGGAAATCAAAATATTAATGATGTACTAGGCTGTGTAAGTGCTTGTGTGAAAAGCAAAGAGTTTAAAATTGATTTATAAATAGTAAAATGTTTACAGCAGAATATCAAAAGGGTGCAACAACTATTCACTTGCAAGTTTTTACTAGTTTTGCGTTCAGTATCTTTTTCTGCTAGTTTTATCTTCTTGTTAATTTTACGCTCTATTTTGCTTTTACGCTCTGGCTGCAATGTTTTACTGGAGAAGTTACTATACAAACCTATTATTTGTTTCTCGTCCATTAGTGTAGTTCAAGATAACAACTTAATCACTTGCTCAATTATACCAGGATTAATTTGCACATTTTGTGCCCACTTTTGCAGAGTTCGTATAGCAGGAAGCGGAACCCATTCTTTTTTTGAAATCTGTAGACTTTCGCACTAGCCCAATAGAGTGTGATCGAACTTGATATGTCTTGCTCAGACCAGTTCTGCCTTTTTTACCCGCCCTTTAATTTTTTTGTCTGGCCGTCAGTGAAAATGGACCGTAACTTCTCAATATTTCGGTGTTCGAACTGGGCTTTATTAACCCGGATTACGACACATTCCATCTCTTTCTAGCATTTCATATAGTCAACATGGATTTTGCAAGGGCAAATCAACTTCTACAAATTTACTTCAATTAACATCCTATATCTCAAAAGCATTTAGTGAAAGCAAAACTGTTGATGTTATATATACTGACTTCAGTAAAGCATTTGACAAAGTGTGCCACTCGTTGCTCATCTATAAACTTGATCTTCTTGGTCTTCCACCTAATTTTCTACGTTGGATCTCTTCATACCTCTATGATGGATCAGAAAGGGTAATGTTTAAAAATACTATCTATGCCGTCATTGAGTTTATTTCAAGAGTCCCTCAAGGTAGTCACCCAGGCCCGATTCTTTTCTTGCTTTTTATAAACGATATTTCCCCAAAATCTTAATGTATGCAGATGAAGTAAAGCTTTATAAATCGTACGTTTCAATTAAAGAAAGGTCTTTGCTACAATCAGACTTATAAAAGCATGGCTTACTGGTGTCAAGTAAATCTTATGCCTCTAAATCATAAGAAATGTAAAGTAATGTGCTTCTCGCGAAGAGCTGTTCATCCCGCTTCTTATACTATAGGTAACCATAACCTGGAACAGATATACAATTTTGTGGACCTTGGTATCACAATGGATCCTAAGCTTAATTTTAATATTCATATTAATGTGACAGTCTAGAAAGCTAAAGGTTTGACGATGGTCAAAAGAATTTTGTGACCCTCATATCACTAAAACCCTGTTAACAACATTAGTTAGGCCAATTCTGGAATACGGTTCGGTGGTTTGGAATCCAAGTTATCAAATTTACTCAGACAAGATAGAATCAATTCAAAAACAATTCCTCCTTTTTGCTTTAAAAAATTTCCGTTGGGATTCTCAATATAACCTTCCACCTTATACGAGCCGATTAAAACTTATTAATCTTCCTACACTTTCCAGCCGCAGGCAAATGCTTGGTACAATTTTTATAGTTAAAATACTAACAGGCTCAATTTCAAGTCCGCTTCTTCTGGGCGAAGTTGGCCTTAATGTTCCCTCCCCCCCACTTTTGTCCCCTATTTCTGAAAGCTTGTAAAACTAATTTTAAATTGCGCGACCCACTCCGTTGCTTATGCCAGGATTTTAACTCTCATTCCAGCACGTTTGATATATCAGATCCGCTTTTCAGCATTAAGAAATCGATACTGTCCTCTCTCAATAAATGAATCATTAAAATAAGTAAGAGCAGGCTGGCCGAAGGCTTCATACCTTTCATGAGCATCTGAAAATTTTAATTTAACAAATTACTGCATTGACAGAAGATAGATTAATAAGTTCCAAGGACTGGGATGGAGGATTTTTTTTACTAGAATCCGTGGCTGTCTTTATAGGTGGACTACTAACACGCCCACCTTTATTTTCTCGGCTATCCTCAGAGGGCGGAGGGTTGTCGAGACAAGTGAAAGACCTAAACATTTTTTCGTAATGCTTAAATTTCTCAACAAGCACCGACAGATCCTTCCCGATCTCAGAAAAACCATTTTTGGACTGCCTAAAGAATTTAAATAAATCAACTTCGGTTGATCTACATTTTTAACAAGACCAACGAAGACCCTTACCCTCGTTAATAGTGTCTAGTACTCTACCGCTCAAACCAGCACATTTTATATGGGCAATCTCATCGCAGAGCCAGCATGACACATAGGAGTTGCTTTTAACGTTGCAATTGGTGTAAATACACGACATGTTTAAAATTATATTTATTTTTAGGTTTTAGAAGCAAAAAAGCAAAAACAGTTTTGAAAACGATGTATTAATCAGTGAACCAATCAGCTGGTAAATATCAGTTGTAAAGCTATGTAGCGAACAGTTTTAAATGCACTGTATATTTGACACCTAATAAACACAACGGAAACAGCTGTGACAAAGATGAAACAGCAGAAATGACAAAAAGAGCAAAATCAATGTGCACAAACAAAAACAATTGTACAACAACAATATATTATACGAAACAAAATACTCGGCACATGCAGTTAAGAATATCAAGTTAAATTAATAAAATTTACAGGAAATTTTGATGCTTTACTTATCTTTAAATTGTGCACCAGAAGTTTATTAACACTTTTTTTAATTTTTTATTTTAATAAGCGTAAACAGCTTTATAAAACACAAAATTTAAACAGATCACAGAAACACACAGCTTCACAGCTTGACGTTTGAGTATACTGCAA